TTGATTAGGCGAAACTTTTAGGTGACGTCAACAATTTTTTGGGAGAGGATAAACTAATAAATTTTGATTAACGATTTAACGTGATTACGTTAACCTTAAAATGTTTACAGGATTTCAGAGAACATTCGGTTTTCGGTTTAGCAGTTTCAAAGTTAAACTGTAAAATATTGTTATAAAATTTTGATTTTTTTCTCAAAAATCTAGATGTCTACAGTGAAACTCAACACGGATTCATACATCACGAGTGCAGGAGCATCTTATTTTATGCAATTAAAAACAAATATTATAATTTTGGACATACCGTCATTTTATTGGTGGTGGGGATTATTAGCCCAATTTTTGTGAGTGTTTTACTATCTACACGATATTCCTAATGCAAAATTTGACAACAATCAGTCCAGTAAATTTAGTGATTGTCTAATAAAAATTGATACACCAGACGACAGTAGACAGAAAAAAACCTAAAAGCAACAATTCGTCGGATGGACCCTATTACAACACATAGCTTACGCTCGGGAAGTAAAAAATTGTGACACACAAAACTCTTAATCCATAAAAGTAAATAAGTATAGAAAAGAGGAAGTTGTGTTATTTTAGCAATTCAGCACTTTGGATAAAGTGTAAAATAAACTAATGTTGGCAGTATTCAAGAAAAGTAGTTCTACTATGTAATCTTCATTCGTCATTTGAGTACTAAATTATAAAGCTAACGCATGCTAAGATAAAAACAAGATAAGGTTCTAATTTATTGTTAAATAAAGTTTATTAATTACAAAATTGGTGACACTTTTATCTCCTACACATGATAAGAACTTGCCGAACTTGCAAGACTGTCACGATTGCTTTATAAGTAAAAAGAATTATAATTATTATTATAGTATATTATTAAACCATACGTATAAAAGCATGTTGTGCTGCATGTGTAAAACGAAATTTACTTAATAGTATAAGCAAATTTTGACAGTTTACCACCTACATCATTGTTTTAAACTACACTTAATTGTTGAGAACCAAGGATTTGTCTCTCTCAAAAAAAATTCGGAAAACGCAGGAAAAACAGAGGTGGAAAGTCTGTCGCTTCGTATTCTATGTGTTGCGAAATGACGAGGAGACGTAAATTTTGACATTTGTCAAATCACACTATTCTCATTGCGGAAAACATTTTTCATAAGACAAATCATTTTCAAAAATAAAGGAGCTTGATGAACGATTTAAAAAAGATTGTATTACTTTGTACTAATTTAAATTCTTTGGTACTTATTTTTACGATGAGGGTTGCAATTGTGTGATTTAATTTTAAACGTCTATTTTTTCGAGAGTTTATGCAAACAAAAAAATACTGTTATATAGAATGACAAGAGGGAGCATGTCTCACTGAACTTATACTAAAGAAATGCCATCAAAACAGTTTCACTCAAGACTCATTTATGACCCTTTCTATACCACATCGGGAGCGGTTAATCCTGAACAGAGGTGGTATTGTTTGGTTTAAAATGGGTTCATAGCATGGAAGGAGAATGACAGGACGGAACATGCCTCACTAAACCAATTTGATTAATGAAACTCCGGCAAAAAACCTGGACGCCCTACATGGGAGCAGTCGGTCATCAACAGGAGATCCGAGGCGATGCTGATTGCTTTAAAATGGGTTCACGGGCAGTAAAAATGTTTTACTATTTGCTTAATTATAGTATAAAACAAAAATATTTCTAGCAACATAAAAACTCTAGTAAATCTTTTAAACTGCTTTTACATTCTATCTTATTAAATTATTTTCAATAAATTTCAAATAAATATTTGTGGTTACCTATAACTTATAAAACATCAAATTTCGTAATTTAAAAGAATAAACAACAGGGTGTTTCAGTATTTTGGTAACTAGTATTAGTCTAGTGATTACAGATAGGTACATCGTCCAAAATTTATTTACTTATCCATTCTTTCCCAAAAGTTGACAGCATTAACTCAACAAATTATTAAATGAATTTTCATCGATAAACATTCTGGGATGAAGGACTGCTGGTGTGCTTACACTAAATTTGTCAAACAAAAATAATGTATGATGCGATTTACGTAAACTACCAACTATCCTAAAATTTTGAAAACCTAGTAATTTTATCTTGTTACACTATACATGTATATTAGTGGGAGTCCGAATTGCGCACATGACCTGAAAAAGATAGAAGTTGCGCCCTTACCGCGTTTTTTTAGACCCTACAATGCAGGTAAAAATTACTCTCCATTGGAAAATTTAGTGTTTTGCGACGTCAGTATAGGATATTTCAATTACGTAAATATAACTGAACTCTAAAAATAAATTCACGAATGCATAGTTTTACTCAGATGCGATTCTTATAGTAATATTACTCTATACCTACCTAAAATGTACACAGATGGTAATGGGCTGTTGTTTCCTCGGATCATTTGGGTCCAGAGTGAAAAATTTTGAGGAGCAACAACAAGTGCTTGCAAATCGTTCCACGTGAAATATAATAACTCATTTAGTTCTTGTCATCCTTATAGGTTTACCTTTTCGAAATATTAAAGGAATTTGTCTGTATATAAAAATTTGGTTTTCTTTAATGAGAAAAATACCATACTTGGAGATTATGAAAGAAAAACCTCCGACAAAATTTTGCCAACTTCATGGAGAATAAAGCGGGGTAGGTGTGATAATATTTCCAGGTAGCGGGCGCAACTCGGAACATTCACCTACAGTAGAATGTGCGTAATTCGGACTTTTTGACCTCAAAAACTCAGGTAGCGGGCGCAACTAGGATATACTATCCTCAAACATATTTGGCGTTTATGACTTCACACCAATTTGACTCCCATTATAATTCAATAGGCCGGATGTCTTAAACCCGCTCACCGATACCTACCTGAAAAGACCTTTTCTGGTAGGCAGGACTGAGTTTTGCATTTACCGACAACTGCGCCTTTCGAGTTTTTTATTTTAAGTAAAAACAAAGTAACTTTTTCCACTAGTAGCATTACAATGGCTAATTGTCGACTTGTCTAGAGGTCTGTAATTTGGAAAATTGTGAACCTTGGTCAATAATGTAAACGTGAAGTTGGCCACCTAATGTGACAACTGTCCACAACTGTCAGAAAAACTGAGACATAACCTGAAAACGATCATTTTGGAAAATTTGCTTTTAAATTATGCCCTGGAATGATTTCCAAACCCTGAATTGATTATAAATTGAGGATAAATTGGTGAAACAAAGTTGATGAAGTTGATGGGAGTGAAAATGAAGTTTACGGGACTGAAACTGAATCATGGTTCCGATTTGGTTTGACTTGATTTGCCGTAGATGAGCTTTGGACGATTTCGGCGATTTTTTTTTTTATTGAAGATCGAGCCGTCGTTGTATCCTTCTGCTATGCTGGAGGATTTCCATTCCCCGTGTCGCTTTAACGATAAAAGGTCCATACCTTTTTCAGCCAAATTTGTCGCGGTCGCGTAAGTACGACGGAATGAGGAGGGGTACATGATGGTTCACTTTACAACATTTTTCACACAAAAATTTATTAAAAACGGGAAATACGAGGGAATTTAAAACAAATGTTCTGGACCATTTCTGGATTGTCAAAAAATAATAAAATTCCAAAGCTTACTAAAATGACGTGAGTACACGTTTTTATTGATGCACTTCAGAAAAAACATTTTGAAAATTCGCAAACCTCAAATGGGCTACTAGTGGAAAAAATAGTATATTAACCACGTTTGTGAAGCCAATTCTAGACCTCGCGCTTTAGAGCCCTCGACGCTGCGCGTCTCAGGTTCTAATTTGCGCTCGGTCTAGAATGTCTGTCTTCACAACCTTAGTTAATAATATACTATTGTACTCAATCATTTTTTATTACAGCACAACTATTTACTTATTAACTACTACTGCTTATTTATTGATCGAAATAGTCACTGTCATCATCACTCGACTCTTCTAAATTAATAATTAACGGTGTTATCAACCGTGCCCTGTACTGGTCTTCTTCTTTTGTGGAATGTCGTACACAATTGGCCCACATTTCGGCAGTTATTTTGGAAGCTTCTTCCCTAATTATGTCAATTGTTGCACTACTAAATTTTGGTGCCGTATTATTCCTTCTTATATTATTTTTCATTTGCGACCAGATTAGTTCGATGGGGTTAAATATACAATGGTACGGCGGAAGTTTAATCACCCTAAATCCACGATCTCGCGCCATAGCATCTATTTTATATTGTTTCTCAAATTTTCGAGTGTGTAACACTTCTAATAATTGTGTCTTTGTGTAATTTTCTTCAAAGTATAAATCATGTTCTGTAAGGAAATTTTGAAATTTGAAAATTTTAACAAACAAAATTACTCTGAGTCCGGTCCTTCGCGTCTCGACCGTCCCTGGCACGTCGAAAAGGTCTTTTCAGGTAGGTATCGGTGAGCGGGTTTAAGACATCCGGTTGTGACGGCCTATTGAATTATAATGGGAGTCAAATTGGTGTGAAGTCATAAACGCCAAATATATTTGAGGATAGTATACCTCCGTATATTAGAGCAAGAAGAAAATTTGTATCATTCTGCCTGGCAAATATCAGAATATTGAAACTGTGTATCCAATTTTGTGTTCTAGAGAGCCATTTACACATTATAGAATTACTCCCAAATTTTTGAAGAAAATTATAACTATAAATACTGGAAATTCTTTGGTTGGATTTATATTGTGAGAAAGTGAGAAATTCTTACTTTTATTATTGTGCGTGTTACTGGACGTAGATAATTCAAAGGATATTTTATGTTACGATTTACTTATTAACAATATTTATTAAAAAACGATAATCAGAAGGTTATGGTTTCAGTATACTTCAAATAAAAAAAATGTTCATAGTACCAAATTTTAAGCATTCTAAAAATAATCTGGCCGTATCCACGTAGATAATCTTGATATACCTTACTGATCATAGTCATTTTAAATAATCAGCTTGAAATCTGAACTTTGTAAAGAATTAAGTACTCAATGAGATAACAATTTTGTATAAGGTTTCAATCTCAGCGTTATCAAGCATTGTCTAGCACAACATTCTGAAGCAAACACGGGCATAACTACTTTGAACACTGAAGGTAAGAGTTCGCTAATAGTTTCTCAATAAATCTATAGTAGTTACAACAATTAGTTATTTTTGTGTTAAATTGATTGCTTATAAATATAAAAAAATACCATTATTTAGATGGCTCCACCATTTGAACTCGATACCTCCCCGCTTAATGAGGCGGCAAAAAAAGTAGCCGAAGAAGAACTGCGAGAAACACCCGAAGTTGTACAACAAGGAATAAAAGAACTCCGAGAGCTCTTGAAGAATGACCCATCATTGAATTTCAAAGATGATGATGAAACACTGATAACGTTTTTGAGACCGTGTAAATTTTATCCCAAGAGTGCACTTGATTTGGTAAGTTTTAAAATTATTACATTTAGATATACCTATGAGTGTTTTTTTTTTAATAAAGCTAACTAAGGCTAATAAAAGTTAAAAGAAAAATATTTTTATTACTATTACTTGCACAGGCCTAATTTTCAAGTATATAAAAGTCTTATTACTACTAAATTATAATTACTGTTATATTTATCTATTATCTAAAGGTATATATTATATAAGACAAAATTTGAAAAACAATCATCGAAATTAAATACTTAAATTTCATTTATAAGTTAACAATGGCAAAAGTAATTCAAGTTTGTGACACATTATCATTGTATACACAAAAGTAGAATCACACCCAATATCAACGAACACTTAAATTTCCTAGTCGTTTAAAAATATTCATTATCATTAATCATTATATTTATGTGTGGACTATGTTGATTTTTTTGTTAAAAAACTGTCCCCTACACACTTATCTTTATGAATTTGAAAAAAACTTTCAAGAATGAGACTGACAAATAGGTCTGAACAAGAAAATTGAGGCCGTAGCGTGACAAATGACTATTCGTGAAAATGTTTTAACTGTCGTGTAGAGTAAATTCATAATAAAACGACCTGATAATTGCTAATAATAATAGTCCAAATTTGATGTAAAATTGACCCTGTGGAATTAGAAGGATAGAAAAATTATTAGGAAGGACAAATCTTAAAATTTTGCAAATTTTTTTCTACGAAATTTGTGATGATTACTATTATATAACAAAAATGTCATCTTCAAATAACCATTCAACATACTACTTTTAAAATTATTTATCTTTTTAGAATGCTAGTTTTAATACATTGTAGCTGTGTATGAAATTTATGGTAATTTTACTTGTAAAAAATGGTCTTGAATGATACTGTCTGAAATACCCATAATTTTTGTATTTTGACCAAAATTGCAACTGCATCGTAACTACCATAAATAGTGTACTTACTTACTGCTATCATTATTAGAAAAACGACTTGCGTGGAGTGTTTACGTGTCCCTCTTATGTAATAAGAATGAAAACAATTCAAATGATTAATTTGACAAATATCGTTGATATTTTCGTTAACAATAATAAAGGGAGAAATTATAGCTTCCATTAGAACAAAACCGTCCTTGGAAAAGGTTCCGACTTCGTGCATTTTATGTATGTCTATAGGACACTTCGATTATGTCATCTCTGACGTTACATCATCACTCTACATTACTTAAAATTTTGATGTGATAGCTGATCAACTTAAAATTTGAAGTGCATGTATGACATTCAATATAATCTAAGAAAATAATGTATTGCATAATATACTTAAACACTCTATTGGAAAATGTAACACTGTCACAATTTATGTTATCTGCAAATAACTTTTAATCGTTTGTGTATTTATTTTTTTTTAGTATAACTATTTATGCATAATTTACTAAAAGTAATAACTATTGTTTTATGAATGAGAGCATATTATATAATATTCACGTTTAAAATTGTAAACCACATGTCAAAAAATGGTAACGTGTACACTTACCTTAACGATGGAATAGTTTGTGTAGAAAGAAATCAGAAACAATAATAATTGATGTATAATGGAAACTGAGGTCACCTTGCTCCTTGCTTTTGAGTTCTAAAACTACATTTAGTTTTTTATTGAAAAACAAAGATTTGACTGTTAACTAAGTTCCTTTGTAAGTTTTAAATGCGTAAGTACTTATTATCCTTTGCGCTTTAGACAAGGCGTATATATTTATATTTATTAGTTTAACATTCCTATCCAATGTTAACACTTACTTTAACATATTTAACAGAAAATTATTTCATTCTAGATGAAACGTGTTAGCGACTTCAAAAAGAAGAATAAGGACGTTGTTGGAAACTTAATGCCCGAAGATGAAAAAGATGCCTTTACCAATTACAATGTCGTAAATGTTTTGACTAACAGAGACCATAAAGGCAGAAGAGTGCTCTTGGTTAACGTGGGAGGTGAGTTCATCAACTGGTAGGAAAATCCCCAGTTTTTTTAACCAAAGCATTACATTTTTAAGCCTATTGTTAGACAATAGTAAGATTACTTACAGTTTTTTCTTCCCGAACGTAAACTAGTGTTATGAAATTTTACATGCATTTTAGGAATATCATGCATATGCTGACCAAAATTTGCCTGAACATCTCCACCAATAATTTGATTACGGCATCTCAAAATTTTGTACAGGTTGTTTATGAAACATACTTACATCATGCTTTTTACCTATTTATTATTTAATTAGTCATAAACTTTGACGACTTTAATGTTAATGCTGTTTGGAGTATTTGTAGTTTCTTTTATCAATGTTTGAAACGTAAGTTGTTTTAAAATACATAAAATAATAGTCGCCAAATAAACAGTCTCGCATAGTTTCATGTTTTGTAAACAACTGTAACCATCCGTTTAATCAATTTCTTAAATTTCAATAAAGTACGTCTTTGTTCAGTGAAGATCACCTATTAAAATTCACGTTTAATTAAATTCGCAAACAAATTTATGATTGCATGTTTTTTTCACTATATAGTCAATGTCGTTTATTTAAATGAGAGCGTTGTCGGTAAAAATCAAACCACTTCTTTGAGTAGGTACATAAAAAAACGTTTGTAAGCGAACTATACTTAGCGGATTTTGACATTTGATTTTCAGGTTCATGGGACCCTTCTAAAGTAACAGCAGATCAATTGTTCCGCCTCTTTTTCCTTATTCACGAAGCTGCAGTCTTGGAGCCGGAAACCCAAGTTCGTGGTGTTGTGGTCATAATGGATTTTAACAATCTAGGTATGAAGCAGATTGGAGCTTTGACACCAGCTGTCAGTATGAGACTGCTCAGCTTTATACAAGAGGCTATGCCACTAAGACTTAAGGAAGTCCATATGGTTAAACAACCACTTATCTTCAAGATGGTTTGGGCAATTTTCAAACCCTTTATTAAAGACAAGCTACACAAGAGAGTAGGTAGTGGAAATTTTTCATCTGCTTATGTTTACTGTTTGTTATGCGCAGATTTTCTTCCACGGTGACAAAATGTCCAGTTTGCACAAACATATGGACCCATCACATTTACCTGGTGATTATGAAGGAAAACTGCCCAACATAAATTACACTGGAGCCGACTGGTATCCTTGTATTGAGAAATACAAAGATCATATTGCAACTTGGAACAAGTTTGGATATGCAGAGAAATAGTTTGTGAAGCAACCTATACATAATTTTTTCGTTTAACTGGATATTAAAAAATAATCACAAGGTTATATTTGTCAAGTAGTAAAACATAAATAAGTATATAAAAATGTAAATTACAGATATATTAAAAATTATGTGAGAATTATAAATATTTGTTCTTTATCTATACCTATACATATACATATTTCACATTCTGTTATGGAATTTATATTTCAACAATAATAATTTATTGTGTTAAAACAGAAGCTCACAGTAGATCAGAAGCTAACGTGCGATCAAAAATAAAACACCACTAGTTACTACTCGATGCGTAAATGTTTTTTGAACGTAGGACGTAGCTAACATCCTATAGTGAACCAAGAGTTATAAGGTTATATGGCCATCATAAAATCATCCCATTGTGTCGAAGTTAAGTTGTGTACAATAGAAAAGGTTTTAGGGTCGTAAATAACGTGTCCACTGCAGCTCGACCGGCTCGTGTGGTTTCGTTCAGGGGCGGCTTTCACTAAATATGAAAATCCACCACTCCACTATTTCTTTACTACCTGCAGCCGCTGAGGGTTCCGAAATAATCACTCGCTTTGAAAGCCGGCCCTGTTAAATATGAGCAAGAAATGTTTAGAAGATGATTTATTGCCAACCGGTAAGCTTAGTGCGAACCACACAAAGGGGGTATTTATTTGCGGTCAACTACTTTTATGATGGCCATATAACCTTATAGGTCTTGGTTCACTATACAATGCACATCTGTCAGTGTCAAACTCGTTCTGTCACTTCTATCATTGTTCTAATCTGTAGACGGCCGTGCTGTAGACTATCTGTCACTATTCGAATTTTCGATGTAACCTCAAATTATTGTTACGACGATAGGTACATCGTACGTTCAGACAACATTTGAGCATCGAGAAGTAACTGGAGGTGTTTTTTATTTAATCGCTCGTTATATATATTAGGCAGTTTTTTGTCAAGGTACATATTATATTTTTCCGTCAACCTTCTCGGTTTTAGCAAATTAAATATTTTATTCTATTTTAGAATCATAATCTTGTTTATAAGCACCCAAATGCGGGCGTAAGTTAGCCTTTATCCCACAAATGTGTCAAAAATTGCTAAGCAACAATTGATTATTCATTTACATTAATTAATTAAGTAATTATTCATAAAATTTTCGATATTCAACATTTTTATTAAAGTTGGAAAATTAATATTTCATCAAATCATTACCTGGCCGACTTAAAATTCTTCTGAACTTTCTTTTGAATAAACGTTTTCCGCTTCTTTAGTTTGCATTTTGAAAAACGAATTATCAAATAATCAACGTGGTATCCATAACAACATCAAAATAATAGCCATGTATTAAAGTTTGCATCGGCACAATTCACAGTCTTGCCGAAAATACTCAATATTTCGTTAAAAATAATTTAGAAATTAAAATAAAATAAAACGTTATATGTACCACGTGCATAATTGTCGATTGTGGCACTCGGGAAACTAAAAGCCCTCCTTCGTCGGGCTTTAAACATTCGCTCGTGCCACAATCTCCCTGATTATGCCCTTAATACATAAATAACTATTAAGAGCAACAACTTTTTATTTTAATTATAATATTTGTGTCAAAATTACACCCTGTTAAAATAAAATTGGGAGTCTAAATAAAAACCTGGTCAAGAGTGTTATGGCACCAGCTTTTGTGTTTTTCGGTATGTCGTTTCCGAAATTAATTTTAAAAGCTGTCATCCGCTTATCACATGGACTGTTGTGAATTAATAACTTTTTAACTGAATTTGACATCGAAATGACAACTATCTCGAAAACGATGACAAACACTACGATATAAAAATAAAACAATAAAATAGGAGGCATTCCTCTAGATCAGGTTTTTATTTAGACATCCCTTATAACCGGCGCCACGCCGCGCCGTATTCACAGAGTACGGAAAACGTTTGCGGACGAAAAATGGTAGATGTCCGAAAATAAGTACCCAAAGTGTAATTTTTTCAATTTTAAACGTAAAAATAGTGTTTTATCTTTTACCCATTGTTTTCGTTTGATTTCCGAAACCCCGGAAAACGATCATAAAAACGTCAATTTCTTTTGAACAGTCTAAAAAATTAGAATAAAAAAAACCTCCATAGTCGAAAACATTTATCCTTTTATGTACGGTTGTGTCAAATTATCGTCAAAAATAACTATCTCACACTATTTGGGGCCTTTCAGCAAAACTTCAGCGCCAAGAAAGATTAAATTGTAAGATTTCCAATTTAAAATGACCTGCCAGGTCTTCTTCCTATGTTATTTTTCAACTTCCAGCACTGTTCTATGCTTGATTCATCGTCAAAATCGCGGTAGACTGACTTACCCACATTATTAGTTTGAATGTGTTGTAAAAGTATTAGCAGATTTTGCAATATAAATTGTACCATTTTTTAACTAATTAAATAGTACTTGCTAACAATTATTATTTAAAATTTTAAATACGCACCTAATTCAAAATCCCCTTTTGATTGCAACAAATATAAAAACATCATTTCTAAATTGATTACATTAACCTATTGATGATTAGTAGAAAGATTTTTGAAATTATGCTGATGGTTTTATATTGCTAGTGATTGGCTTTTTCCGTAGTATCCTGAATTATCGTTTTTAAATATTAAGGCTCTAGCCTATTCTTCGGGCTGGTTTCTCATTATGCAATCACTTATGAACTTTATTGTTGTCTTTATGGTCTATAAATTGTTAGTCAACAGTATACCAACTTTTATCGGTAGATGGAGTCAATTATCGAGGTTAGCGAAATCACTTTCTACGATGAAAATGCTCTTAATGTGACGGCTGTATGAAGTGCCGCCGAGCTAGATTGAGTTGGCTATGATAAATAATATAGAGCTCCTCAAATTCAAAGTCAGTTGATAATTTTTTTTATAAAGTACCGACACGAGTTTGACAGGGCAACAATAACGATTTTTAATCCGTATGATGGCGCTTTCAAAGCAAATATTTCATGATACTCTAGATTTTGACGTAAAATCGTCATAAAATAGCATGGCCAAAAATAGTTTTCAAATTAATTGTAAAAAGTTTCATTATTTATTAATTTCAATTAACTCAGTAACGAGAACAAAATAATAACTAACACAAAACAACACTTAATTAAAGTTTAAAACTGCTCGCATACCTACACTACGACTAGATTTAGCTAAATTAGATCCAACAGAGGCAGAATGGTAAATTCTTAAATGAATATAAATTCTTGTTTTAAAAAATAAATTAATAACACGTTTTTGGATGTTATGACAAATAGGAAATTGTTCCTCATCTAACAAATCTAAAAATCCGCAGACTAAATGATCTAATTTTAGAGATCCTGCACTTAATTTATTACAGTTTTGTCTAAAAATTTTTTCTGCTTCAAGTACTACATCAAATATTAATTTAGACCGATATAACAACAGTCCTTCCTTATATGATTTTAAATCAACTAATGTTTTTAAATCCTCAGTAGTTTCCAAATCTTGTGTACCAATAGTTGAAAAACAGGTATCACAGTGCAGTTGGTTGTTCTTTATATTTCTTATGATGGATCCCAGAAGATAATAAAGTGATTGTTTTTCTTCAAGTTTTATGTCGTCTGCTGAAAAATCTATTGTAAGAAATGGCTCAACTTCTATATCAGACTGATTATCATCCGTAAAAAAATCCACCAGTGGAATATCGTCAGTTATGCCATAATTTCCGTATTTTGGTTCTTTAAAATACTGAAACACTGAAATTAATCGCATAGCGGTTTTAAATTCTTTTGCGTTAGGAACTGGATTTCGAGATCGAATATTTGAAAATAGATTTTCGAGAGCATCTTGCGTAAATCTACTTAGTAAAAGATACTGAAATTTATGGGTGCTTAAAAATTTTTCCTGTAAGTCCAAAACAGTTTGGGTACTTAAAAGAATGCCTGTTTGAATTGGTCTCCAGTGCCCTTTTTGTCCAATTTTAATGTGTGATGTTACGTGGATCATATCTTTTAGGAATTTCAACGTTTCTTCGTATTCCACCATGTTATTTTTGCTTAGACCAAGTTTTGCTGATCGAGAACTCAGGATACTATACCACTTATAAATAAGTTCTAAAAACCAAGCTGTTGTTAAATGATTTTGTGAGATTTTTCCCTTCGAAATATAAAATTTAATTGCTGCAGATGTGTCGTGATTTAAAATCGCCATAGCCCCTTGTACAGCCATTTTTACTTCCCGAGCGTAAGCAAAGGAAGTATTGTAATCGAGTCCGTCGGCCGACTCTCTACTTTTACGTTTTCTCGATCTTTCATGACCCCTAGAAGACGAAGAAATAGGTCTCCCATTTCCGTCTGTCTGTCCGTCTGTCCGTCTGTCCGTCTGTCCGTCCGTCTGTCCGTCTGTCCGTCTGCCGTCCCGGATTTTTATTAGACAGATAATCTCCGAAAGTACTCGACCGATTGTTGTGAAATTTTGTACTTATATTAAGAATATCATGTAGATGGTAAAACGCTAACCAAAATTTGTCTAATCATCCCCACCACTAATGCGATGACGTCACTTCAAAATTGTACATAGTAAATGGGTTTTCAAGTGTATAAAATAACACAGTCCTACACATGTAGTTTACAACTCTGAATCGACTTTTCACCCGAAACGTCCAGATTTTTGGAAAAAAAATCAAAATTATAAAACAACATTTTGAAATTTAATTTTTAATCTGCTAACCAGAATGCTTTGAAATGTTGCAGATGTTTTAAGGCTATAAAGAGCATCATAAATCTTTAGTCAAAAAATATTTGCTTATCCCCTCCAAAAACTTGATGACGTCAGCTCAAAAGTTTGTGGAATAAATCATATCTAAAATGTACAAAATATGATGAGTCTGTACTTGTGATCTATCACTCCATTCATATTTTTTGGATTTGCATATACAGGGTGACTCAAAAAAATTAATGAATGCGTAAATATATTTTATTGATTTAATCAGGAACTACAAAACGGAATGCTCTGACATCTTGCAGATGTTTTAAGGTTATAAAGAGCATAATAAATGTTTGGTCAAAATATATTTGCTTATCCCCTCCAAAAACTTGATGACGTCAGCTCGAAAATTTGCCGAATAAATTATATCTAAAATG